TGGGTTTCATGTAGAATCCAGAAGGAGAGACTGGGAGCGCAAACCCTAGAAAGAATCTTGATCCAGATGAGAGTCATGCCCGTAATGTTATCGGGATTAAGATTCAAGTGATGATTGAGGATATAGAGAATGCTCATTCTCAAGCAGATTCTAGGAAAAAAATTGAGGAGGAGGATGCTCAATTGTAGAGGAAGGCGCAAAGTGAACAAAAAATCTCATACAAGAATATGGTTACAGGGGAAACTAGTAAAGCCTCTAAGAATCTTGCAACTATTGTTTTCCCCTAAATATTTGGCGTCATTATCTTTATGGATGTATGTGCACAGTGTTCAGCGACCATAAGAGTTTGAAGTATTTGTTTGACCAGAAGGAATTAAACGTGAGACAGATGAAATGGATGGAATACTTGAAGGACTATGATTTCACATTACAATATCACCAGGAAAATAAAATGTGGTGGTAGACGCGTTAAGTAGAAGAAGTTTCCTAGCAACAACCTCATTAATGGCCAAACAACAAAAGTTATGGGAAACATTCAGAGACATGAACATAGACGTGAAGTTTGGACACATAACTCAACACTTTAGAATGATTAGGATTTCAAATGAACTTTTGAAGGACATTCGAAATTGTTAGGACAATCCATTATTGCAAGAGAAATGGAATTAATGGTACACGGAAAGGTGCACGACTTCAAAGTAAGATCAGGTAATATCTTAAGATGCAATGCGATAATTTGTGTACTCGATGTTGTAGAGATAAGGAAACTGGTTTAGGAAGAAGCCCACAAAATCAAACTACGCATTCACCCTGGAGCAACAAAAATGTATAAAGATCTAAGACAAAACTATTGGTAGCCAGGAATGAAGAAGGAGGTGGTGTAAAACCCTAAATAACCCTTGCGCATAATTAAATAAAAACAGAGTAATTATCCACAAAAATCATATTTAGGATGTCACCTTTCAACAAAAACCTGCTCATGTAAATAGATATGCAACACCTACGATTTTTAAAATTATTAACAGTAATAACGATAATGAAATATTGTTTGAAAATTCAATATTTATTGAAACAACGGAAAAATTCAGCATTAAGACAATTTTCATACCTCGAAAAACGAGAACAACCTCGCGAAGCACAATCACACACTCGCGGGATGGACTTAACAGAGTCGCCGCCGATCTTTATTTATTCTCATAGAGGGAAAGAGAAAATATTGAATAAAACCCCTAAAAGAAAGACAAGGATATGGTCATCGCAATCAATATCTGATTTTGAGAGTCGGTTACGCAAGGGAAAAATATTAGCAATCTCTCACGTCCGTTGTACTCAACGAGAACTGTTTAGTTAGGATAAAATGAATGTTAGCTTATGTTAGTTTCTAATATTCTACTCATTGAGTGGGAAAGTGAGTGAAGAGAAATGTTTTTAGTTTATTATTAAAGAGAAAGATAACCCAAGGTTTTATTACTAGGGGGCTCGACAAGACTTCACAATCTTATGCCTACGTATCCTCATAGTGCAATGAGGAACTCAGAGTCTTCGTAGTTCAGGGACTACGGTGAAAAAGGTGAAAGGTGGATCGCCAACGATTAGGTCCGTTGTGCCTATGTATTTTCATTGATAAATGAGAAATCAGAGCATTTGTAGTTCTGGATAAAAAGGTTTGTTTGTTGGTCGATTTTAGTGAAAGATATTTGGTCGCATTCAATAGAAAACATTGCTTTACATAAAACAAGTGAGGAGCAGATATTTGCATCACAACATAATGGATTTATAAATAAACATTCACGGGAAATGTCTCTTATCTCAATTCAAAGAAGTTTGTGGACGAAGCAATATTTCACGTCGTCTCAAGATACATTATCTCTCGTTTGTGAAAAAGTTTTAAGGTTATTCGCACGACGGCGAGAAGAGATAGTTTGAATGGTTGGATGTATTTTAAGTGAATGGCCAACATTTGATCAAATGTCCAAAAAGTTACGCCAGAATTCCAGATCCTAACGTCCCTTATTCATTCAATTGGTTATGAAAATTGTTTGATGGACAACGAACACAAGAGTTACGCTAAGATGCTAGATTTTAACGCCCCTTATTTGTCCAAGTTGATATTAAGTGTTTTAAGAAGCAAAAGAATGAATGAACGAATATCCAAAAGTACGAGACTCGACACCGATCATTCGAGGGTTCTGCTAGAACGCTAGATTCCAACAGTCCTCTTCTTTTCAGATTAATTGAGAAAAATGTTTGATGGACAATGAACTCTTTATGATAATCAATTTTTCAAAGAGTTATGCCAAGATTATAGATCTTAATAACCCTTATTCGTCCAAGTCGATATTAGATATTTTAAGAACGAAAGAAAGAATGAACGACTATTCCAATGCGTGAGGCTCGGGACCGATCATTCGAGGGTTCTGCTAGAATGCTAGATTGCCACATTTCTCTTCTTTCGAGATTAATTGAGAAAAATATTTGATGGACAATGAACTCTTGATGTTAATCAATTATTCAAAGAGTTACGCCAAGATGCTAGATCTTAATGGCCCTTATTCGTCCAAGTTAATATTAGATGTTTTAAGAACGAAAGAAAGAATGAACGACTACCCCAATGCGTGAGGCTCGGGACCGATCATTCAAGGGTTCTACTCGAATGCTAGATTTCAACAGTCCTCTTCTTTCGTGTATGTTAAGAAAAATATTTAATATTAAGTTTGGTTTAATTTTAAGAATAACTCGAAATTAGTAGAGTTTTGAAATCAGTCGAAAGCAATTAGAAGTTAAAAGGGATTAACTTGGTCTTAAGTGCTTAATTATGCATATACTTCTCTTTTAGCATTTTATTCAATAAAAGGTCTTGAACCCAAGATTAAACATATCCTACATACTTAATAAGACATGTAAACCTTTGAAATTTTGATTAAAAAAAGAACTAAATACGTCAAGATTAATGTCAAAAAGTAATGACCTTCGGAAAAGGGTTAAACGGATCCCACCCTAATCTATACGATTTTTTTACAAAAAAACTATTTTATATTTCTACTTGTTTTAGTTTTAATAAAATGACATGAATAGTTTTAACAAACCAAATATTATATATATATATATATATATATATATATATATATATATATATATATATATATATATATATATATATATATATATATATATATATATATATATATATATATATATATATATATATATATATATATATATATATATATATATATATATATATATATATATATATATATATATAAAACTCATTTGAAATATTATTTAACCAAAACAAAAAAAAAAAACTAAAAAATCAAGGGTGGTTTTTCTTTATAACAAGTTAACCAAATAAGTAAAACAAAACATGACAAATGATAGAAAATTTTACCCCATACCCCTACATTTTTAAAAAAATATCAATTTTATCCCTGTCTATTTTTTATTATTTTATTTTTTTACTTTTTACTGTCCTGTCAGATTTTCAGAGTTCTGAAAAATTCACCCATCAAGTCGTCCGGAACACTTTTAAAATGACTTTCGATATGTTGTTTTTTCCAAACCGGGAGACTTTGGCTAAGAGTTCCGATTTATACAAAATATGTACCGGAAGAGTTAAACAAAGACTTCCGGTTTGAGTTTTACGTAGAAATCTTACCGGAACACTTGTCTTAAGAGTTTCAGTATGCAGGAAAAGTGTACCGGAACACTTTTTACTAGTCTTCCGGTTTATTATCTTTGTCTACCGGAACTCTTTTCCCGAGTCTTCCGGTTTGCTTTTGTAAACTTTTTTTTTTAATTTTTTTTATGCAGGTACAGAAATTCCTTCACAAATATGCGATAAAGATCAGATATGTGTATATACGTCTGATGTTTTTTCAACTACTCAAAGATTTGGTACCCGAGAAAAGGTGATAAGATGGATTAAAGAGAACGGAATCTGAAATAAAGTAACGGTTATCATCACTCGTTCAGATATTGAAACAGACAAGAGAGGAAGAAATAACAAATTAATATTTGGATGTGATAAAGGTGGAAAACACAAAGATATTGATAGTGAAACCCAGAGTGCGACGAAAAATGTGGATGTCCATTTAGAATCAGGTCAATTCCAGCGACTGATGGATCTGGATGGAAGATTGATGTAATATGTGGAGTTCATAACCATGGTTTACCTGATAGATTAGAAGGTCACACATTTGTTGGTAGGTTGACAGCGGATCAGAAGCAACATGTTGTTGATTTGACAAAGAGAAAGGTTCCACCTAGACATATATTGCTTTCATTGCAAGAGAAAGATCTAGATAATGTCACTCGGATCACGCAAATATACAAGCAGAAGAGTATGATAGAAAAAAATATAAGAGGTCATAGAAGTGAGATACAACATTTATTTAAGCTTATTGAGGATGCATGTTATGTTTATTGGAGTAGAAAAAGAGATGACTCTGAAGTTATTAGAGATATATTTTGGGCTCATTCAGATTCAGTTAAGTTGTTGAATATTTTTCCTATTGTGTTAGTTACGGACAACACTTACAAGACAAACAAATATAGGCAACCTCTGTTTGAAATTGTTGACATGACATCAACCGAGTTGACTTTTGTTGTCGCATTTGCGTATATTGAGTCTGAGCAGACTGAGACTTTTTGTTGGGTGCTAGATAAGCTTAAACAATTGTTTGTGAAGAAAGATTTGTGTTCACAAGTGATTTTGACAGATAGAGATCTTGGTTTGATGAAAGCCATTGAAATTGTGTTTCCAAGGTCGATCAACTTTCTATGTCGATTTGATATTAACAAGAACGTTGGTACAAAACGAAAACAATATGTGGCTAGTGACATGCAAAAGAAAATTGTGAATTATGGACGGATGTTGTATGTGTTAGTGATGAGGTTGAGTATAATCAAAGGTTGAACCAACTTGAGCAGCCGTGTGTTGATTGTAATGAAGATTTATTGGAACATGGATTAATCGAGTGCTACATTTGGGTAACACCATGACTAATCGGTATGTATTTATTTTTAGTATTTCTAAATTGTATATCTTTTTTATATTTTTTTAAAATATTTTTAATATGTATTAATTTTAGGGTTGAGTATGCTCATTGGAAGTTAAAGCAAATGTTGGGGAACAGTATTGGTGACATGGTCAAATGTTGGGAGGCTATGAATGACAACTTAAAGTTACAACTGGGCAAAATTAGAGCTTCTTTTCAAAAGAGTTATTATGAAGTTGAGCACGCCCACGTAAGTCTATTTTACAATAATTTACGTGGTTCAGTGTCTCGAGATGCATTGAGACGCATTGTTGAAGAGTTAAAAGAGTTGATTATGTTGGAACTAACAAGGAAATATGGCTTTGTACTCTTATAACAACCTACGGATTACCTTGTGCTTGTGAGTTGACAGGATATAGAATTGATGGTATACCGATACCAATAGATGTTGTGCATGTTCATTGGAGAAAACTAAGTATGGAAGTTAAGTTGGACGAAGACGTAAATGATGGATCAGAGGTGGATATGAGTAGTGCAATAGATGAGTTATTTAAAAGGTTTAAGTCACTGGATGCTATTGGGAAAAGGGCATTAAAAAGTAGGGTTTTTGAACTTGCATTCCCCACAATGACTTCTATGTGTCCACCACCTGAGAAAATAAAAACTAAAGGGGGAGTCAAGAAGAAAGGCAAAAAAACCAGTAGGGTATGATGTTTATAGAGGCCCTTCGTATCACGAGTATGTTGATCAAGCATCTCAACCATCACAGACTTTGAAAAAATCTCAACCATCACAGGCTTCATAAAAGAAATCTCAACCATCACAGGCTTCAAAGAAGTTGAAATTATCACAATCTTCATAGTCATCTAAGCAGTTCATCCTTCAGTTTCCTAATCACATCAGGTCATATATTGATGATGTAGTTAATGTTGTATCAGATGGTAATTGTGGATTTAAAGTCATTGCTTCATTGCATGGATATGGTGAAGATGGTTGACTAATGGTTCTTCGAGACTTGGGGTTAGAAATAATACATAATGAAAGATCAAGTTTGTATGCCAATTTATTTACTGATCAGTTAGAAGTAGTGAGAGAATCTTTGATGATAGAGGCATTTGGTCCTCAACCACCACATAAATGGTTAACTCTACCAGATATGGGTTACGTGATAGCAAATCATTATAATGTTGTACTTGTCTGTTTAGGATTTGAATGTTGTACTTTCTTCCCTATGATAACTTCATTTTCACCAAATGCATCATTTTACTGCATTGCTTTTGTAAACACAAATCATTGGGTTCAGGTACTTAGTTATTTTCAGATAATGTGATTAAACCTAATTCTTTTTCGTTATTTTTACTTAATATTTTGATTTTTTTTTAGGTAAACATGAAAGAAGGGTTTCCATTGCCACCCGTGACAGTATATTGGAAGAAGTTCCACTCTCCAGCAACAACATCTTGGATGCTAGGATTTGCAGGACGTCTACAATATTGGCAACAACTTACGCTTATATTACCAACGCATTATGAATTATAAATTATGTTACTCATTTTTAATTTCACGCTACAAGTTAACACATAAACATAAACCAACTAGGACAAATGAGTGTAAAAGTTAACACATAACCATAAATATAAGTCAACACGTCTAAAAGTTAACACATAACCATAAATATAAATATAAGTCAATGTAATCGAGAAATATGTAAAGCTTCGAACAACTCAGCAAACTATGGATCATCCTCTTCAGCACCAGCCTGTTGAAGATAACAATGAATCAATGAAGACACACGAGCCCAACTAGGATCAGATGGTCCTGCTTCATAAACAAGAACTGACACCTCTCTTGGTGCATCACGATGGGGAGGTGCCAGACGAGGATGCGAAACACGATAATACCACTGAAGATATCCATCATCTGTCTCATATGGGGTGGTGGCCAGTGTTGTCGGACGAATCACATCCCGAACGCTCTGATGGTAACTAATCTACTCAACATTAATATCATCGGCCATCGTATAATAAAGAGGTGGATGTGGAACATACTGCCTATATCCAAACTGACGCATACATCTGTCAGGCAAGTATGGAACAATAGTGTCGCCCCACCTCAGACACCCCCTATATGGACATAACTCATCAAACTGACGTCATACTCTATGATTCTCGAATGTGCGCCATATGACATCGGCAGGTGTCAGCTCGTCCAGAATAGGTCGCAAGTCATCTACCTTCAGGACACCTTGCCTATAGGACCATCTCATCGCTCGAGGGAGACCCACATTATTAGTCGGTATCCAATTCTCTCCTTTTTTCCAAGTGTTGAAAAATACTCATGAATCCAGCACTGTTACAAAATTAATACTATTACTAATTTTAAAATAATTAATTATAACATAATAAACTAGATAAATAAAATTAATATACTAAATAAAATTAATTAAAACAAAATATACTAAATTAAAATAAATACCTGTAAGAGAGTCGGATAACCACCGAGCTGCTTACAACTGAACATAGAAGCATCTCCGAGATATCTATAGAGGGTAACCAACGCAGGTGCTCCCCAACTATATCTTGATAACCCTTCCAAGTCTATAAATAATGATAGGTATTGTGCCTCAACAAGCGTAAACGTCTTGTCCGCGAAAATAGTGGAACCCACTAACATCAACAGATAAGCTCTAGTCGCATAATCCATCTAGAAGCAGCTTTATGCTCTAAAAATCGGTCATATAACCACTCCAACTTATAATAAGAACCCCTGCAGGCACGGACTTGTTGTTGTGCTACTCTCTGTGACACTCCTAACTAATCAACAACCCACTCAATAGCAAGTCCTTCATTGATATCTTGAGGGCTCCAGAAGACTCCACTGATGGGCAAGTGAAGCAGGCAAGAGACGTCATCTAGAGTAATTGTCATCTCACCAAACGGCATGTGAAATGAAGATGTCTCTAGATGCCATCTCTTTGCAAATGAGGAAACCAGGTTCGTGTCTATCTTTGTCAAACTGGTTCTCTATAGTGAAGCTAGACCAGACCTAGATATCCAACCCTTCATCTCTCTTGGTAGCTGTAGTGGAACCCTATGAATCAACTTCAACCCATGTCCTGCTACCTTTAACTCTTTCTTCGAACCTCTCTCCTGAAAATAATTAAAAGTAAATATATTATAAAATTCAACATTAAAAATTTGAATTTTATTCAATATTAAATAATTTTCGTTTACTTACCTCACCGAACCATATATGTCTAGCTGTTGCGGTGGAAATAGGATCACAAACTATTAATGAGTTTGAATCGCAATTCAATTCACAACCGCTCTTTAATTTATCCGAAGGAAAAGGTCAAAAGAGGGAAAACCTATTTTGCATCGTAAACACAATGCGGGGAAAGATCTAGGGTTCGGGGGTTGGTTAAATTTAGGGAAGGTATTAGCACCCTAAACTTCTGTAGTACTCTACAGGAACCTTTTGTTCAGATGTTTACTATTTTGCTTTATTTATTCGCTTAAGGTATATGTACAAGGGATTACAAGTGAGAAAGGAGACCTAAGGGGTTAATTCTAACTTTACTCGGCAAGACATCGCATCTTGTGCCTACGTATCCTTACGGGAGTGGAATCAGAGTAATCGTAGTTCCCCTCAAAAGGGAGGTTAGAGACTTCTTGACTGTGGTCAAGGTCTCAAGGGGAATAAACGCATCTTAAGGACACGCTTACGTGGAGTGTAGAAACTCCAAATCTCTACGTTGAATTGTTAAGTTGTAATTAGGGTTAAGTTAGGGATTCCGCGACGGGAAACCCTAAAATGAGTGCGGCGACTCTTTGACCTAAAGCTAGGGGTAGTTTTGTAATTTTGCTTGCGGCGAGGCATTTGTGAAAAGTTAGGGTTGAAAAGGTGTAAGGGTTGAAGTTTTGAGGTTGAGGACTATTGGCGCGGCGACCAAACGGTTAGACCTAACCTTCGGATGTGTATAATGTGACAGGAGTATTGATGAATGTGTGAGATTTGAATCATGCAAGCGGAAATAAAATGCAGACAGTAAGCCATACAAGCAGAAACTTAAAGACAGAAACTAAAGCGCGATTGTTAGGATTCGCGAGGTTACATGAGAGGCAGTTACAATAATAATGAAACTTAAAAAACACAACGCAATAGTAGTACACATGAGCTGCAAAAGATGAACACCCGTTAGTAGGCAAAGTCAGACGGTAATTGGACGGGTCATGAGACAAAAGTGCAATATTGGAGATTTTTGTTGTTTATAAAGAAAAAGTTTTGATTTAAGTTAAAAAGATGTTTAAACATAAAAAAAAATTAAGTTTAATTTTGAAAAAATAGTTTTAACTTAATTATCCACAAAGTTTTAATTCCAAAAAAAAGATTTGATGTTATTATTTAAAAAAATGTTTTTAGTTATTATTTTAAAGAAAATTTTGATGCTATTTATTTTAAAAAACAATTTTAATATTTAAAAAAAAGGTTTTAAAATAATCCTAATTATAAAAAACAAAAATAAAAGGGGTTGGGCCGGTAATCACCTCCGGACCCAACCCGGTTGGTGTAAGTGTAACAAAACAAGGTCTTAGGGTTTCGCAACCCTAATCCCTTCCCCGCGGCGCATGATTCTTCTTGCTTCTCTTGTCTCTCGCTTGCTTCATCTCTCTCGACTCCTCTCATCTTCCCTGAAAAGAAAAACAACAATCGTGAGAGAAACATGGTGTGCTTACGTTTTTCGATAGTGGTTCGGTGATGAACGTATGAGGAGGCGATGATGGTGGAACTGAGCCTCCAGGGAAGGTTTGCTCGTCGTGGATGGAGGCGGCGTCAGTGGACCTTCCTCAATCTCTTGGCTTGCGTTCTGATGGTTACCTTTGACGAACCCCTCTTCTCTTTCTCTCTCGCGGACACTAGGGTTTTTACGAGGTGATGTGGTTCCCTTTTATGTTTTTACGAGGTGAGCCTCCAAGATCGATTACAGAATGCTGGAGCATTGAGCAAAGAATAACATCCAAGCTTCTATAAACTATCCTTCGTGATGGGATCGAATGGACTTTTCAGAAATCCATATCAGATATACAGGGTAAAAACCGACTGTATGCCAAAATAAATGGACTTTAAGTGGAAATGCCCTGATAAGCTTCTCGAGGGAGAACTGTCACTTATCGTTGGAAGGGACTTATATGCCAAAACGGATAAGCACTCAAATAAAGAGGCTGCTGCTTATCTGATATATAAATCTTCTCATATTTAAGGTCGGTGCCCGGAATATGATTCAAATTCTTCTTTTACTAAAGGATAAAATAAACTTCTTCATACTTCCGAGGACAGCGCGTCGAGTATGATTCCGCTTCTTCTTTTGCTAAAGGGTAAACTGAACTTCCTCATACTTCAAGATTCATGCTCTCCTGAATATGATTTTGCTCCTTCTTTTACTAAAGGGTAAACTGAACTTCCTCATACTTCAAGATTCATGCTCTCCTGAATATGATTCTGCTCCTTCTTTTACTAAAGGGTAAATTGAACTTCCTCACACTTCAAGATTCATGCTCTCCTGAATATGATTCTGCTCCTTCTTTTACTAAAGGGTAAATTGAACTTCCTCATACTTCAAGATTCATGCTCTCCTGAATATGATTCTGCTCCTTCTTTTACTAAAGGGTAAATTGAACTTCCTCACACTTCAAGATTCATGCTCTCCTGAATATGATTCGGTTCAAACCTCCCCATACTTCAAGACGACAAGGAAAAATGGAAGCCCAACTGCTCGATGGAGATGGCCATTTGCTGCGAGTCATAACGAAGATAGGATCAGCTTCTCAGGCGAGAAATGTCGCTTATTTGCAAGAGTGGCAATAATAAGCTTCTCATGTAAGAACTGCTTGTAGAGGTGATAACAGATAATGATGAGCTTCTCGGCGGAGAACTGTTGCATACCGTTGCTGAAGAACGTCACGATAAGCTTCTTAACCGAGAACTGTTGCTGATCGATGGTGATAAGCTTCTCTTGTGAGAACTGTTGCTGATCGATTGTGATAAGCTTCTCTTGTGAGAACTGTTGTTGATCGATTGTAAAATGTTGTGATAAGCCTCTCTGGTGAGAACTGTTGCTGATCGATGATAGGCTTCTCAGGTGAGAAATGTTGCATACCGATGCTGTAAGATGTAGGATTGTTATATCGATAGGCTTCTCAGGCGAGAACAGTCGCATACTGATGCTGTAACATGTAGGATTGTTATATCGATAGGCTTCTCAGGCGAGAACAGTTGCATACCGATGTTGTAGGATGTAGAATTGTAAAGTGTTATACCGATAGGCTTCTCAGGCGAGAACAGTTGCATACCGATGCTATAAGATGTACTGATGGATTTTCCAGGCGTGAACTGGTGTGATATCTGTAAAGGATTGCGATTGATTTTCTTGAAAAATAGTGCAAAATAAATGCACATCCGGGTACAGTGATAAGCTTCTCAAGCGAGAACAGTCGCATATCTGCCAAGGTATGGTGAAAAATTTTTAGACGGTGCAAAAT